CCCCCGTCCCCAATGATAAAAGTACGAGAATAAATAGAAAATAGAGAACCCCAACAGCCAGAGCCAGAGCCAGAACCAGCAGAACTTTGCTGTTTTCGTAGCGTGGGTTTTTATTTATTTATTTATGCACACTGTTTGCACTCGACTCGTCGCTCGTTCCTTGGCAATTATTTGCAGTGGCAGTTTGCAGTTGCAGTTCCACAGCGAAGGGCAGGAGGTTCCACAGAGAAAAGGGACGGGACTTTTACCCCGTAGTAGAATACTTGGAATATCTGCAGGATTGAAACGCCCACAGCAACAGCAACAGCAACAGCCAGAGCAACCCCAAACCCCCTTTTCATAACTTTTGCCCCGTTTTTAGTGGCCATTCATCATAATAAAGTTAGTTGAGGGCTTCTGCATTTTAGATGAAGCTCTTAAGTAATAATTATCGTTCCTGTGCAGAGGGTGGAATACTCGCAGGAAAACTAGCTGCAGATTAATTCCTCAGAGGCGTTTTTCTATAAGTTTAAATTGTTTTAAAAGTGTTCTATGGGGGTAATACATTTTTTACGACCCTCAGATGAGCTAATCCCTTGAATACGACCCTTAGATAAGGTATTTCCTTGTCATACGATAGTTTTAAAGGCTTTTCTTTGATATAATGCCATTTAGTAGATTAAATATAACTATAATCTTTTTTTAAGCTTTAAGTTTTAGGGCCCAAAGAACTCAGTTTAGAATGTTACATTTAAAAAAACATTCAGGAATTTTTCCCAACAATCTAACTCCAATCTAATCCCATAAAACCTCCACATTTATGCCGAAACCCCGAACATTCTCAGCATTAAGATCTTATTTAACATTCATTATTTAACACTTGGACATCCCCTAACCTCGGCTCCATCCGTAAACGCCGCACACATGTACCCAATCTCAATCCCATAAAATTCTTGCAACAAAAGGCGGCGGCAGCAGCAGCAGCAGCAACAAAATCAAATAAATTGCCAAATGGTTGACTTTGACTATGGTTTTAGTCTTAGTTTATTTTGTTCTGCTGTTTTGTGGTCTTTTGGACACGCGCTCCATTATAAGCGGAGCAGCCAAAGCACAGCCGATAAAGAAAATTAATCAGGCAGCGACAGTGGCACTCGCACTACCAACAAAAACTAACAGCCAAACTGGCAAACAAGTTAGCGGCAAACTTTAAGTGCAAATATATACACAGAAGAGACGCCAGCCAAGACGCAGCAGCGCAGCCAAAGTTGTGGCTGGAACTGGAACTGAAACTGAAACTGGAGCCAAAGTCACTTTAGCGGAAATGACAGAAATGTCAACAAAATTACACAAATTAATGCCAAAACGGAAGCACAGAAAACAGAGTTTTGGGGCCAAAAATATGCAGAAGTGGGAGAAGTCGATGGAAAGAGAGATGTTTGTCTCTGTCTTTGTTTTTGGGCTTTGTTGTTTTTGGCGCCTCGTAAATGTGCGCCACGCACTTTTTTGGCATAGTTTTTTCACATAAAATATTTCCCTATTTCATGTGTTTGTAAGGGTATAATGATTTTAGGGAGATTTCGTATCGGGGAAGCAATTATTATTGAATTATTGTTTTGATTTTTTATTTCTATAGTAAAAAGTGCCTCCACTTGGAATATTTATGATTGAAAACATTAAAATCGGGCAGGTAGATTTCCTAGGAAAGATTGCTACAAAATAAAATTTTCTAAAGATATTTGGAATGAAACCCAACAGAATGTAGTGGCAAATATATTTGTATACTTTTAGATATACATATTTTAACCATATCGAATGTCTAAATGATATCATATTTCTCATACATTTCTGTGCAAAGGAGGGCATTAAATGCTTCGAATTCCTAAGCTTTTATTTCCCTTTTCGAATGTAGGTGCGGGATAAGCGTTTTCTCAGGTGTAGATTTTGGCACATTTCTTTTATTTGTTTATAATTTCTTGTGATTCGATGGAGGGAGTGGAGCGCAGTGGGTGCCCGCAGAACTTTTACACTGACTTTGACAGGCAGTTAAATTTATTAGCTGCTTCATCAAAATTTTCTTGATGGTCTCGCCTCCGTTTGTGGCATTGGGGCGTAGAAAGTGGGTGGAAATATGCGTTTAGGGAGCAGATTAAGTGTGAAGATGGAGGCTCTTGGAAGGGAATGTTATAGAGAATATTATCTAGAGCGAGGGAAAATGGTTCATAAATTAAGATAATCCCTAAACTATGAAAGAAGTTTAGGTAGTATATTTTGCAGTAACTTTTTTTGGTTGGAAATCTTTTCTTTTCGAAGAAATAATCTTGGAATTTATGTACATAGAACATGAGAAAACTCCTCCTCTACTTTTCAGCTTTTCTATACGCTAGACAATAGAACGTGTCTTAATAGAAGAGAAGCCGAAAGTTCCCAGAAAGAATAGATGGAGAAAAACATGCTTATAGCTTGGATTACATTTCCTCTTACATTTGAACTGAATTTCCTCTTATAAAATAAAGATTATTTCCATATTATATCATCCCAATCCCTATCTCTTAACTCTAGAGCTTATCAAATTGAAAATCCCAATAAATACTTGTATTTATCGTAGCAATGTGTCTTTACACATCAATTACTTGTTTAAAAACTCTTCAAAATGCAAATTGAGAACGTTTTCATATGCAAATCTTTGTTTGAACTCAAAGTCGAGGCTGTTTGGCATGGTTACGTGTGTTTTTTTTTTTTGTAAAAGGAAATACATCTTTAAACCAGTCTAGGTTGAAAATTATTATAATTAAGTAATTAATAGATACGAATTAGTTAAAGAATATAACAGCAATATATTCTGATTATTGTATCATCGTTGGAATTTTTATTTCAAATATTTGTTGAGTAAACTCTTGGGTTTAAGCAAATATTTGTTACTTCGCTGATGAATGGGAAAGACGGCGTACAAATTTGTTTAGCTGTTGAAAATATGTTTTCGAAGATGATTCATGAAAATAACATCTACATATTACTTATAAGTATTATTTTTGTTGGTAGCAAGATTTAAATATGTGGAATTATAAGATTAAATCTACTTTTTGTATGATTTGTGTACTCTTCATTGGATCTATTGAAAAAACTCTTGGTTTTAGATTATTTATTTAAAAAAATATATTTTATGTCCCGAAAAAGTGTTTAAAATGCATTAGGTAATGGCTTTCCATTAGATGATTTCTTTCCATTCCATTTTCCATAAAATTGCATTCCATTTCCATAGAATTAATTCCATTTTCCATAAAATTCCATTCATTTTCATCATTGTATTTTCATTACGGATTTCAACCCACTCTTTTTCTCTTAGTAAATTCAAAAATATTTTCTGGTTTTTCCAGCTTACTCATCTATTCCAGAAATAAATATAGAATATATCTAAGCATGCTCTCCATCAACTGCAGTGCAACCCACTGATGAAGTGGAAATGAAATGCACTTTTATTTTAAAACACTTCCGTGACACATTAAAATTAAGGAAAAGAACTGTGAAAATTTCAACAGATCAGATTGGATTTTAATTAACAAGCATCGACAACCAAAAATATACGAAAAAATAACATCTGAATCCCTCATCCACTCAACCATTGCCCACTTTTCAGGCATTAAAATCCCTCATTCCGCTCCCATTATCGAAGCTAACTAAAAGACATGTGTATCCCCGATCATAAATCCACTTTCGAACAGTTTTGTCGTTCTGCTTTGGAATATCTCTCTGTGCTGTCGTCTGTATTCCGAAATTTATTATGATGTCATGTCAGTTTTTCTAAAATTAAACGCAAAAGCTTCTGCTGCTGCTTCTGCTTCAGCCACTGCTACTATGCCTATCACTACTTCGATGTTAAAGGAAATAATCGTACAAATCATACGCTTTAATCTCTTTTATTCCTCGTTTCTTTTTCTTGGGGTTTCGATTTTCATTTGTAGCGAAATCTCTTTTTTTTTTCCTTCTTCTTTTTAGCGACAGAACAAGTTTTGAAAATGCCATAAAACTCTTAAGTATGTCTCTTCTTCTCAAGTGAAAATCTGTAGAAAGTTGAAACAATTGTCGGAGACAGTAGTGGCAGTGCAACAAAATGGCAATTAATTTGTTGTAAGATTTAACAGACGCGACAAAACAAGAAGACAACTTCAATTCACGAATGAAAGTGAGGCCAGGCCATGAATTTCGTGATTGTTATACTTTCAAAAGGTTTGTCTTTAGTTTGGCTTGTAAAAATAATGAAAATAATGATACAAATTAATGGAAATTAAGAGCGTAGTCTTGTCAGAGATCTCTGTCGTCTTGCCACATTGTAAACGGTTTCACACTCCACTTCCCTTTATTTTGACTATTTTTAGGCAATTTTTTTTTTGTTTCGCCAATAAGTTGTCGAAGTCTTTGCCCCTTTCCACCTCCTTCTTCTCTTATCTCCTCCTCTTTCTTTTCTCTCTCTCTCTCCATATTTCTCCACTTTTGGTTTCGCTTCACAAAAAACCCGCAATTTGCTTTGCACTAATAATCATCTTTCGGTCTTTCTCGTGCGTCTCTTTACAATCATATTAATTTTCTTTTATGATTACTACTCGAACATATATTTTTTTTGGCCAATATTTTCACATATATTTTGAAATTCTTTATTGACTTTTGATTTTTTGTTTGTTTGGATATTTTTGTGGTTATTTTCTGTGTCAATTTTTTTGTGGGCCATGTCTTATTGTTGTTAAAAAATCAATTGTAAGGGCAAATATCGCTGACCCAATATCTCACGAGTATATCGTACGATTACTTTACTTACTTTCGTTGGATCTTCATCTTCGTTTTTGTAGTTGTATTTTTTTATGCAATGGAAGCACAAAAATTGTATTAATATGTTGCAATTTATTATGCTTGCTGTGGAACTTAAACTGGAATTGAGGTTTCGAGTTTAAAACCCTAATTTAATGAGGAGGATGGGAACAAAACATGTGTTCCGCTTACAGCTGATGAAGCACTTCTTAAGGCATGAAACCAACGAATTTTCTACATTTATTTAACCCCAAATTTCTGGATACAATTAAAAGTATTTCTTTGAAGTCTCTTTAATGTCTTGTAGTGTATAAAAACAACAATTGCTCAACTTGTAGTGTAAAAACGCCCCAGTTAATCCTTGCGTACATCAATCACACGCTCCATGATTTTATCCATCTCGATCACATAGACTGTGGCGCCCCAACCAGTTGTGATATTCCTATCGAAGGAATGTGTCAGCGTCTGCGACATTGTTTCAAAAAGTTCCTCGGGCTCTAAATTTGGTGTCCAGAGAGTTTCGCACATTCCATGCATCTGTTTGTCGCAATTACCACAAAACACAAAGGAATCCCTTTTAGTGGGCGCTCCAATAAGATCAATGCTGCAAATATACGGATTCAGGCTATACGGATTGACGGCTGCAACAACGGCCTGCACGTGGTAGGGCCCAAAGCGATATTCGTAGAGCAGATTCGACAGCATGGTGGTAAATGCCTCGGGTGACATATCACGATTCTCCTTAATTTCGTACAAATTTTGACGGTAGTGTATACGATCCCACACTGTATTGACATCGGCGACGAATCCAGTCAGACCCACAAACATGCGGGGTCCCACCTGGAAGACCTTCTTGAAATCACCGGCAATCCTCTGTCCAGGGGCAGAGGCGTCACCAAGGTGATGATCTGTGGCAATGGCCACGCAACCAATGCCCTGCATTGCCAGAACACAGCCACCGATCGACATTTTATTTCAACTAGAACTTGGAAAATCTTAAAAAATATCTGCCTCAACAACAATTTGATAGAAAAAACTTACAGGAAATATTTACTGGATTTGAGAAAATATTTTCATTGCCACAGATATGTCATAGCTTACTTTATTCAAAGCAAAAAGGCACAGAGTTTACTTTGTACAAAAACTACCCCGATCTCTCTCTCTCTCAGGCACAATTCCCATGAGTATTTATCACTCCAATGGTCAGAGAATCTCATTCGCATTTAATTACTTCACACCACATCGAAAGTAGGAGCCTCCGTTTGAAGATTCCCCAAATATAAACAATGACCGCATAAATAGCATAACAATTCCAAAGAGAGAGAGAGCGAGATGAGGTGGGGCCCCCGTCTAGACATATAAACATTTGTGGGGCTACAAAAATTAAGTAAATTAAGTAAAGAAAAAAACTGGGGCTGGGCCTAGTCAAAATAAAAATGAATATAAAATGCCTCAACACGCAAAGTGCAAAAAGTAAAACCAAGAATTAATGGTTGAAAAAAGCAGAAAGATATAAAGAGAGCGAAGAAAATTAACGCATTATACGATAATTAAAACCGAAAAGAGGAAAAATAATTTACGCATAAACGAAGTGGATTAAATTTTTAATCAAATTAAGAAAAAGTACTTTTGGGCTAATGAAATTTTTCGCTTGTTGGGATAGACTCAGGTGGGATTTACTATATTTATTAAATGCAATTAGTCAATGTATAATTTACAAGTTCATTTACCACGAAACGATGAAAAGGAAAACTTGTTCAGGCAGTCACTTCAAAAGTACAAGCCAATTATAAAAAAAGGCTTTACATGTTCACTAAAGTAACAAATGCCTCTCCCCCGCTCCTCTCTGTCTCAGGGGACTACCAACGACCAACACACAGAATATAATTAAAATAAAAGCGTGGTAGTGAAAAAATATAATAAAGAAAAAAAGGTGTAAAGCTTGTGCATGAAAACGAAATTGAAATGTGGCATCAGCACGCGAACTATGTATTTTTTACACCAAATGCTGCTGCTGCTGCTGCGTACATTTCTCAGTAAGTTTTCTCTATTTTTTCTACCAACTTGTCTGCTGTGTAGGGTGCAACAAATTATGGGTGTGTGATGTGGTAGATGGGAGAGAAACGTGATTTTAATCTTATTATAAAGAACTTTATTTGGCATTAAATTGAAAGAAAAGCCAACAATTTAATACTTAAATAAAAGTGAACATATTAGCATAAAATATTTTAAAAAAATATATAAATACACCAGAAACTTTTCCAAGTGGCTTCTTGAAGAGCATGTAAAAAAACTATGTAGCTAATTCGCACAAAAGATGACCGACTGGGGGTTCATCACTCCTGGTTCAAAGCTCTGCCTGGTCACATCCCTAAAGTCCCTCACACGCTGTAAAAGAGTTCACTCAACCTGATAATGTTGGCCTGGCCAAGTGCCACATAAAGTACGACGTAAAGTAGTTGTTGCTGCTGCTAGTGTTGCTGCTGTTGCTGATGCAGACACTCAGTGACATATGTTTTGCGAAAACTCATTCGAGAGTCATAAGAACGAACGAACATTTCATTTCATTTCACTTCATTCAATAGACAACGTCATTCAGAGCTTACATTGATTCAAACGAGCATCAGGTGGAGGTGGAGGAGGAGGGTAAACTTATCTATCCATATGATGCAGACACACACTCCTACATTAATGGAGATACACAAGGGAGGGAGAGAGAGAACGAGAGATACGTAGCTGTCAGTTACTTCAATGATGAAGTCATTTGCACCGACGTTCAATGACTCGCATTGGAGGAATACACGCGTGCGGGTTGAGAAATATAAAATATATACATATATACAGCATATAGATACATTTATCATCCAACGTATCGTATCTTTCATCTCCGTTTCACTCGCTAACTCTTTATAGGGGGGATTTTATTGCATTGCACGAACATTTTTTTGCATTTGGCATAAACCTTTACGTATTTGGCGAAACTCATCAGAAATCAACGGATTGCCGTCGGGGGGATGGATGGCTGGAAAAATAAATATTCAAATTGAATTTTGCATTAAAGCAAATTACGTTAGACTCTTTTTGGCTTTGTTTTCTGCGTTTGCCATAAAAACATTTAATTGCTTGTTGAGTAAGAATATTAATTATTTATTACTTGTGACGACCGCATGCAGCTTCAGGCGCTTGAAGCGCAATAAATTCTCTCTCTGTTTGGACAACAAAGAACATTTTTATGTTCGACCGCTTTTCCGTATATCGCTTTTCCAAGTGAAAATGGAAAATAAATAAAATATTGAGTAAATTCTCCTTTGTTGAAAATCAATCAAGCCTTTCCAATGCAATGCAAAATGGAAATGGAAGGGAAATTTATTCTTTGCACAAGTGTTGAAACTATGCGGAATCGTTAAGATTTGTGAATGGGTTTTGTGTGTTTTAATAGCCCCATAGTCCCTGGGGGGCAGGCTATCCTGAGGAATGTTTGGAAAACAGTCAGTAGGAAAAGTTTCCAAACCTTTAAGCTACGAAAACTCTTGCGTTGCATCTATAACCAAGTCGTTCGAGCAATTTACGCGAAGAAATACATGAAAAATACCATGAAAATTCAGAAATATATCAGACACAAGTGTAAATGGATTTTCGAAGTGTCTCTAAAAAAATAAAATCCATTCACCCAGAGCCGGAACTAAAAATGTACCAACATTTCATTCAAGTGCAACACTTCTCTATCGATTCTCATTCAACTGAAATGATATCTACGTGTGATGAAAAAATATATGGTTATATTTCTATTGCAAAAAAAATGTATACCAATTAAAATTCAACAATTTTTTTCAATTCCGCTTTTGTGTATTTTTCACATTCACAGAGAAGTGCTCTTGAAGAGTGCCAAAGCAATGATTTATTTATTCGTGCTTTGTTTGTGGCATTAAGAGCAATTAAAATATGCTCAAAAATAAAGTAAAATAGTATAAAAAAAAATACTATTACTAGTACACTTAAATATATATATGTATGTATAGTGTAGTATGTGCAGTGATTGTGGGGTAACTTTAATAGCAATCTCGAGAGAGAGACAGAGAGAGAGAGCGAGAACCGGACTTACAGCAGCTAGAAAAAACGTAACGTAAGCTTTATCCACTTTGGGGGCTGTGGATATCCCCCAACATGGCAACGGCACAAATGCGACACCAAATGCGATAAATTCTAATTGCGAGGCACGAGGCAGCCTCCAGCCGCCCGTCGACAGTCGACAGTCGCTTCCATTGAAAAGTCAGTCATTCAGATCGCACACATGGCGTATGCTTAGTCTCAGAGACTGGGAGTCGCCTCTCTTGACATATATGCCACCCCTTAGCCCGTCTCCTTGCCGCCTGCTCGTGACATAACATGTTTTGTGTCAATCATTTGCCAGATTCTGCAATAGTTTTCGTTTGTTGTTGAGTAATTGAATATAATGCACGGGACACGGGGGGTATGGAATGGTCCACCGTTTGATTGAAATCACTCAAGTGAGTCTCCCTCCCCAAAAACACTGAAACTGTGAAACTGTGTCAAAGCGCGAATCAAATGAAGCCAAAGTTTCGTGGTTTGAAATGGACTTGGTCCTCCCCTTTTTTTTTAATGATCTTTTCTTTTTGTTTGGGAGTCTCTGCATCAATCATTAGGAAGCAAGGGCCCTCGAGTGTTGGTAAAAGTTTATCTAAACTTTATCTTATCTAAACCTAAACGCCCAACAATTAGACGGAGTTTTTCCATCATTCGAGAGGTATGCTTTTCCTCCGCCTTTCCAGAGGCCTTTTCAGAGGTCGTTTGGGCATTTTGTAATCTTGCTTTTATTTGCTTTTGCATTTTTTGAAAGTCTTTGTGTCATTTACTTTTGTTTTAGCTTTGTTTTAATTTTTTTTTTTTTTTTGGAATGGTAAACGTTTTTTTATGTACAATATTGTTATATCATTTTACGGGCAGCAGCAAAAAATAAAATGTATTTGGTAATGTGTATATGGGGAAAAAATGCAGAAGAGGCATTGAAATATGAGCTTAGTAAGGTTTTAGCTGCTGAAAAAGGAAGAAATATTCCACACAACTACAGAGAAACATTCCTTCAAATAAATAGGAGTGAAGAAAAATGATAATAATAATATAACTATGGACTAGAAACCCTATAACGGACCCCATAACGTGCCGCAACGTGTGGCAGTATTTTTCTATCGTTCTTATCGCTTATGCCATTAGCACCGCGGTCACCTATCGAAGTACGAGAGCACATACCTTCCATTATCAAATAATTTCTATTTATTACACCGCCCCATAAACTTGCACTTGAAAAATAACCGAAAAGAAAAACAAAAGATAAAGAAACGACACAAAAGGCATTACATGCACAAAAAAACAAACACGAACCCATAAATAGTGATAGATATATAGATAGAGAGAGAAATAGAGGAGTAAAGAAGAACCACCGCTATGCTAGGTAAACACCTTGAATAATGAACGATAATGAATATATTACACGTCAGGGCTGGCGATCGGTCGAAAAAGTCAGAGACATGAAGACAGCTCTACGAGTAGCATGCCATTGCCTCCTCTCCTACCCATGATTGATGCCCCAAAGAGCAACCAAAAAGATAAAGAGGAAGTGGTAGGCCCAGACAGACCAGGCGCTTGAGGAACCAGAGATGGTAGCAAATTATTGGACTAATGGCAGCACTTAAATGCAGCAGCGGAAGCCTCTCAATAAAGTTATTGAACTTTACGACTGGCAAAAACGATACAGAAATGAGCAGAAAAAGATACAAAAATTTAAATTTAAACTTCAAAGTGCAACAACTGTGCAAATATTTGCTCCGATATATGGGTAAATATGTATATACAAGGGCTGCCCCGATATATGGAAGGTTCATTTATACAAAAAATTCCCCAACTTTTAACATTGATTTGCATGCAAACATCCGCCAAGAGAACCAGCTGTTTCTACAGATTTTATGACCTTCCTTTCCCAAAAAAAAATAAAAAATAAAAAAACACATCCAAAAATACAGTGAAAAGTACTATTTATCTGAACTTCTGTTTGCGTTGTTAATTCTAATGATTATGGGGTTGCTGCCTTATCGAGAAGTGTAGCATGCAAAAAAAATAAAAAATAAAAGAAGAAGGAAATATATTCCAAGAAAATGTCGGGCAAATTTACTTTTAATCATCATTCAATAAATGTTCGTTGAGGCTTTTGATCAGATAAGTGGGGTAGTTGGAGGTATATTCGAGGGAAATACAAAAATTACCGGATATATTTAGTTTGAAATACATTCGAATTTTGTTGAGCCATCTTCGAGGGGAAAACCAATTATAATTTGAGTGTTCCTTTGGGAAATATTAAAGATTGAAACTAGGGGCAAATGTAGGAAACTCCCTCAGAAATTTTCCGATGAAATCACCAAAACTTATTCCACTTTGGAATGTTAGTAATAATTTGTTTGTAAATGTAGGTTTTCCTCTGGAGATCTTTAAAGTCAAACATCTCTCCCACATTGAAACCACAATAAAGAGATTTGGCCGCTGCCGCAGTTGTCAATCTGTGGCTGTGGGTATTGCTCATATTACAATGAATATATACATACGTATGTAGATATATATCTGGAGATACACGTAAATATATATGCAGCATATATAAATGTTGTACAATATGTCAGTACACGCGAGTATCTGTATCTCCAGTAAACAAAGACCGCCTTCAAGTACAAAACAATGCATTACATCAACAGCTTCTGTGTAAAAACGTATTGTTGTTGTAAGAAATACTCGTATAAAACAAATATATATACTCGGCGTACTCGTACTCGTACTTTGTGCATATTTACGGGTGATTGCAGTCCGGCGGCGGCAGCAGCGGCATAACACCACTTGACACATCATATCATATGTACTCGTAAAAGACAATGATGACAAAAGACAATGGAATGACCAGGTCGCAAGTACCAGCTGTGTTTGTGTACTGTACCCTTTCTGTAAGAGTACTTACACTGCTATGCCCCTGAGCAAAGACTAAACAACTACTTTTGGTACATTGTACAATGTACCAAAGCAGATGTGGCATTGCACGTTTTTGTTAGAGCTTAAAGAGAAGTTTACCATGCAGAAAGCGAAATATTTCAAACATTAAAGGATCTTTAGGATCTTTATAAATATCTATATAGCTCTGTTCTCTGTATCCTTTTGGGATTACATCGACAAAACTTCCTAATCACTCGCCCAATGGCCTACTGCTCGTGTGTCCTTTCGCTTACGGGACATTTTTACAGTGAATTAACGTCAGCATTGGCAGCATTGGACGAAGGTACAATGGAATGAAACAGTGGTATAATTCGGAGAAGATTTTGAACGTAATCTAATAATTGTAAATTTCATTTGTTCATAGGACTTCGAACACATAAATTTCTGTCTCTTAGATATTTTTGTTATTATTTTAGAGAATGTTTTAATTGTTTTTTGGTAGAGTTTTCAAAGGGTGTTTTTCTGTCTCTCATGCATGGGAGCAATGAAAAGACCTGATGCCTCGGCTGTGTCTCTTTTTCTATGAAAATTAAACATACATATTTTATATATTTCTTGCATGATACTCATAAATGTTTTTCCCCCACTTTTAATTGCAGGTAAGCCAAGTGCAATATCTCATCATACAACTGGAAGCAGTACGAGTGCAACAAACTGGGTATTTCGTCATATCAAGTAAATAGTTTTTACTTTTTACTATCTGTAATACAAACAACTGCATCTCTATATATCACTCGGCTGGTGTGCCCGCACTTGAAGGTCAGACAAGGCCGTGTGACGTATATTTGTGTATGAATTTAATTTTAACAACTGCAAACATTTACATTTGTGTTTACGCTCCGGAACGGGTCTTTTGTTGTACTACTTATATTTTTTGTTTTGTTATCTACGAGTACTTGTGCAGACAGTAGTACTTTTTCCTCTAATTGGTTCTTTGGGGGGCGACACATGCGTTGCTCATAAAAGAAAATACAATTTGCAACGGCTGAGTGCCTGAGTCATGCCCGCCACCCTTCAAAGAGGCAGTGTCCCCCTGCCTGATAACTCTATGAATAGTTCAGCACCACATAATGATCGATTGTTTTTAATCTGAATCATAATACTCGCTCGCACTTGAATGCCTAGATTAGAACGTGTGGTGGTGTTGGCACATATGACGGAGATTGCCACGAGATGGCATCGAGATTGGGGGGTTGTTAGGCGACATACCATACTACATGGTGGAGCCTAAATCAAATCGTTGGTCTGGTTTAAGCAGTGATGTGATTCACTGTTTCATTGTAAACGTGGTTTAGTTTGAAACTAGTTTTTAAAAACTTTTGGCAATGGAAAGATTCGTTGAGGAGGCTCTGTTTTAGTTAAGTATTTTTCTTTTAAAAGTTGAGTTTTTATGCTGCATCAGCATTCAATCAAGAGTCTATAAAGGAACCAAAAGAGCCTTAATTAAAATAGAAACGAAAAATTACTTTTTTGGAGGTTTGAAAACTTATCGAAATAATAAGAAACGATTTAAGGTTGATCCTAGTCGGAACGCGATTTAAAACCGTAATAAATGAGCGATTTGGAAAATTGAATCCAACTTTAATCGATTCCAAAAATGGAAACACGCAAAGAACGAGCGGAAATTGAAATGCAGAGGAAGGAACCTTTTTATTTCTAATGATTTCCATTAGATAATCCAAAAAGCTCAATGAATCTTTACAGAGTAATAGCACAAAACCACAAAGAATCTCTAGAGAGGAGATACAGACACTCAAACTCACATAATACACAGCGACACGTGTAGATAATTGTTTCGTACCCTGTCCTATACATTTCTATATCACCAACAATCCGAATGAGTCACTCTGCATGAAAGTACCAATTTATATGACATTCCCTCATTTTAAGCACCATTTTTATCTAGACAGAAAAGACATCGAAACCGCCCAAATATTTCGCTTTTGTTTTGTTTTTTTTTTTTATCGCGTTACACACAAAACAAATTTCATTTTTAGTACACGATAATCATATCGCTTACGTGACTCAACCGAGAGACTAATTAATAATACATATGTGTACTTATAGATATGTATTATCTTTATATCTGTGAGTACCTTTGAAAGGGGGTGTGTGGCAGTTGGGTGGAGGCACTGTTCCAGTGCATGAGTCGACCTTTTGTTGTACATTTTTGCTACTTTGGTTGCCGGGTTAATGCGGCCATAATTCACACAAAGACTTTTTGCCGAAAAATGTGGGGGGCTCTGAAAAAAAAATATATAAACATGAGACATGTGTTTATTTATACCCTTTCAAAGGAGGGTATTATTGTTTTGAACAGATATATTTACAGCTAAGAGAGACTGAATCTCGGAGTAAGTATTTTTATGCTGCATCAGCATTCAATAAGAGTCTATAAAGGAACCAAAAGAGCCTTAAATTAAAATCAAAGAATGTTTAAAACTCCAAGCGATAGCTATATCATATACACATATGTATTCCCTAGAAACAATGACTCTTCAAGAGAATATCGAAATCTTCGGCTTAACAAAAACTAACCATACTTTCTTGCTATTTCTTTTGGAGTGAAAACCTTCACGTTCCGCATGGCATTTGCTAATGATATGCACACACAAAATTGTATTATATTTTGGCAATTGTTAATTACTATTTTGAGGCCATAAAGAGATCACTAATTAGTCCCAAAATATCTCTAGAGTCAATGCCTCAGAAACCCCTTATGTATAGCCAAAAACAAACTATAGTTTTCTTCAGTTTTTCCATTGAAATTGCGCTTTAATTTACATTGTCTGATGGCCTGGAAAATGCATTGCACGCTCAGACAATTCTCTCTTCTCTTCTTCTGACAAGAGGAAAATATTTGCCCAAGTTAAACAATTTGTTTTGGGAAGCAGGAAAAAAGTTTTGTTTTCCCCCCAAGCGACAGGTGTTGTCACTTGGGAGTTGGCTGATGAAAGGCCCCATGAAATGGTAAATTGTTTGTTATTTTTTTCCTTTGTTTCTCTGTGGTATTTGCAAAGTTTTAAGAGTACGGAGTTTGTGTATGACAAAAGAAAAATGGTGTAAAGAGAGGGATTATAGTACAGTTTCTAGAACAAGTTCTTGTAGGTTTTGAGGTAAATTAAAATGTGAAAAGTGATTGAAAAAAATATAGTTTTTGGCGTGCAATTATCTTGGGTTAAACAAAATTGATTTGAAGTTTAAAGCGCTTAGATTTAGTTAGCTGTAGTTTATTTAACTGGGAGCTAAATTTACCTGCCGACCAAAACTATTCATACAATTTTCAGACGAAGAATATATCTCTCATAATTAAAATTTAAATTCTCTTCCGTCTTTGTCTGAAATTCCCTTCGTAACTTTTCTTAGATTTGTTTACCCTTTAAATTTGCTTTGATTCCAACACCCACTCATTCCATCTCTCGTCTGGCTGGTACTTTCCTTTATGGATTGTGTGTGTATTTTCTTGTCGTTTTCTTTGGGTTTACTGAACTCCTTTATTCATTTCCCTTCTTGCAACATTATGCGCTTCCATGTGCTGCAAGAAGCAAACTCCTTTATTCGAAAAGGTATTTCAATACGTGCATTCGACTTTGACTTTACGAGGCAGCGAGCACTTCCACTTCCTCACTGCTGCTCTAGATTTTCGCTTTTCATGGGACCAAAACCAAAGAAGAAAACAAAAAACAAAAACACCCAACAGGGGAGGGAACTGCCACACACAAAGAGCGGACAGAAAATGTGACAATCCTTTCACATAAATTGTGTGCCCCCCATGTCCGCGTGGGCAAAGACTCGTACATATGTGTCCTCTTAGAATCCATTTATAAACAGAAGTTGTGGACAGAGTCCAATCTCCTGTATGCTTCTGTGCTTCTCCTGCGGGGCATTCAACAGACGACAACATTCCACTGCTGTGTGGGGTAAGAGTAGATCGCATTAAATTGCAGACGTGCCTTGGCGTTTTTTCGGACTGCAATTCAAAAAAAGAAAATCAAAAGCATTTCAATTTACAATTCCAGTCACGTACGACGGCAAGAGCAGCAGTAAAAAAAATAAAAAGAGAATAAAAGTAATAATTACGAAGAGTCCAAGCACCGGGGGGAACCGCTCCTTACCCCTCTCTTCATTCAACAGAAAAGCTTAGCTTAGTTTTAGATTTCGAAAATTAATTTGTTGTGCCTCCAAAAAAAGTCACCCAGGCGGATGTTTATGCAAATTTCAATTTGGAATTGTAGTTGCTTTTTTTTTTGTTTCAATGATATTTGTGACCTTTTTTTCGTAGAGTGCGGTGCGATGCGGGGGCGGGCACAATCTGAAACGGAAATTGCCTTGAAAATAGACTGAAAATTGAAAGTGAAATTGTATGCTTTCCCATTCAGCCGTAATATTACTCTTTTCTTTCGTTACTCCTCTCTCTTCTCTTGTGTCTCTCTATTATTCATTGATTTTTAGCCCCACTGCATGCACAGTGGCTTAGTGTTACGCTGTTCTCCCTTTCGCTGGTCTCACTGGTTTCAACGTCATTAGCGCCGACAATCAATTTCAGGGCACAATTAAAATGCAGTTAGGACAGGGTCGCAAACGGTGTTCATAGTCACGCAATGGTGCAAGGTCTTTATATAGAAAAAAGCAACGCAAAAGTGGGGGCAGCGCCTAGAATGTCCCCCGATGCAGGCAGCTCCGAGCACAACTTCTCCTCCCGGACAACAAGCAGCTCCAAGAACTCCTCCTCTTTCAGGACATGGTGTGGATAGGCTTCATCTATCCTTGTTGCATGCAACACAAATAAAACAGAAGCTTACACCACAGGACACTCAGGAAAAGGGGGAGACACCATAAATATTGCAATAAAAGATATGTCAGACGGCACTTTTTTAACTGGCAGAATATCCTACATTTAGCTGGATACGGAGGGTATAAGCATTGAGGGAATATAAATTAATTCAATTTAAGTTAAACTTGAAATAATTTTTAACGTTCTGAAGGTTTTTTTTTTTTATTACAGAAGTAAATGAGCCAAAAAAATATATAGAAGAAAATCTTTAAAATTTTCAGAGAGAATAGAATTTTATTTATTTGAAAATCGGAAATCCAAGTATTATTCCGATCATATCACAGGTCCATAAAGATATTTCACATGTTTCCGGTACTTAAAAGTATTTTTGTTATTTTCCTTTCATATCGCAAATCATAAAATTTCTGCACTTGCTTTTAGTGCCCACCAAAAAACAGTTATTAAAAAGTTTACATTGTGCACAAATATCCAAACATTTTATATTCATTTTTATAGCTGGCATATCTGAACAATGAACCCCATATACACACATATGTACATGTACGTTAGAGAGGGTATTTTGATCGCACGTTTTGGCTTCGGGTTGGCTTTGATGTTCTGCACGATGCAATTTATATTAATTCTACTGTAATTTTGCACCGGACTGCGCTTCGAAGGTCGTGTTTACTGAGGGCTCTCCACCAGGTAATCCTACTGTCGGATGTAATGACCTACCGTTGGACGGGGATTTAATGGGCATTAGTCAGGCGAATGGCCAACGGCGGGATTTGTCAAAGTACGAGCTTGAAAGGTTTTTCAATTGAAGAGGGCACCTTTGAAGGAGAGTTCTCCCTGTATTATTGACCGATGAATATTCGCACGCGGAAAGTACTGAATGTGATAATAGCACATTTGTGATATCAGCGAGATAGAAAACTTTGTTTACATTAGTGGATCGCCAGTCTGAACTTTATAGATTAAGCATATAGAAAAATACTGTCGCCCCCAGTCACTGATAAAATCACTCTGAGGCTCCTCTGACCGACTTGTGTGTGTTAAGGGCTGATAAGAGCCCACCACTTTTGGAGCTGGGCATTTTATTGGGGTTTAATTATAGTCAGCAGGCACAATCTGGCATAATAATTGTTTGTACAAATTTCGATTTCGGGGTTATCAATGACGGAACTAGACGACATTTCACGTTAGATTCGTACGTGATTGATTTTGTGGTTTTTTGGTACGTTGATCTTTTGGCAATGAAACGAGAGTTCATTCGTGGAATGAACATATGGTTGGATATTTTATTACATTTAATTTTATTTTGTGTTGTGTTCTGTGTTCTATTTTTGAGATAGTTTAGCGAAATATTTGGAATATTTTTGGCATATTTTGTACATGTATTTTTAGAATATTTTAAAGGATTTTTAGTATATTTTATTATATTTTTATCACATATTTCTGCATCCAAACACCACAGAAACTACCCTAATGAATCTATTATAAACCTATAGCTGACAGTAATTTACTCTTATGCAAACGAATATATCATCAGTAATTGATTGCTTTTTCTATTCTAAGAATTCTTGCACTCGCTTTGAGCAGAGTATTGTCCTCGTATCTTATCAACTTTTCCACTAAAACAAATTGGTAAACAAACGAACTTCCTTGAACTGTTTTCTTTACTCTCAGCGAACGAACGAATACTTTCTAGCCATGGACATGTTCCTCAGAAATGTAGGACACTTTCGAAGGTTCTTTTGTCACTTCAATGATTGCTTTCAATCATTAATTTGCGCCAGTATATTGTGCGAGTAGGATATCCCTAGATATTTGATATATTTTCCATGAGTTTCCGTTTTGGCGATTTTCCGCTTGGCCCACATTTATTGACACTTTAGTGTTTTTCCATTTATTCTCCCCGTACATTTTGCTGTAGTTTATTGACCAGGGTCAACGGAAGCCAACTGTCTGTCTGTCTGTCTGTCTCTCTCTGTCGCTGTCCATCCATCCCGTCTCTCATCAGCGGGGGGCAATATTGCGTCATCCTGAAAATTGCGCACCAGATTTTTTATGGCTTTTTTTTTTCGACTACTTAACGCGTTTAGTAATTTTGTGTGTTTTTTTGTTATCGTTGATTTTATAATGCATTCAAAGGGAATAAAAACCAGTAGCACTGCGCCTTGAAAATAAAAACAGAAATTGTGCTAAAATGAATGCAGGGGTTTCAGGGTTACCCCGCCCCAAATGGCTGACCTTTAGATATTTGCCACAGAATACGAATACCGGTAATAAATGCAAATTCCCTTGCTAGCAAAGCAGATGCCTTGCCATTACGCCGAGTACCTACTGCCTCGACTCGTAATCAACTGCAGTTTTTTGTAGGGCTAAAAGTTTTTGGGGCTTGTTTTTTGTTTTCTCATTTGGCCCAATGCCAGCGCACAAATGGTCTGTGTCACTGGGCCACAAGCCTGATGACGATGCCATGGGGAAAAACAAAGTCATTTTCCAAAGAAAAAGAAAAGTCCAAAAAAGTATGTAAAACGAAAGCACTGAACGGTTGGGGAGCTTCATTGAAAAAGTGCATGAAATTGATTGAATTTATATTGAAATTGAGTAAAAATGTAATGGAAAAATATAAAAGTAATGGAAAGTAATCAAATACAAGTTTACAAGTGAACTATTCTATTCTGTTTATGTGAGATGAGTAAGGTTTTGTCTGTAACATAAATTTTGCAGTGTTTGGCTATAATAATTACAATAATTGCTCTCCATATTCTGAGCTTTATACAAAAATATTCTCTCCAATTATCGCCTGAAAGAACATCCTGCTTTTCGATTCCAAACAATTTAATTTTCAATGGCCACATTCAGAGAGTGAAAAAACCCCCAATTATTGACAAAGTACGTATAAACATGAAAATCGTTTGTTCGGCCATGATTTCATTGATTTTTTTTCGCTCGTTTTTTTTTTTTTTTTGCCATGGAAATTCAGGCAACAGCAAAAAAAAAAAAGATCTCTTTCAAGTGCTATGGGAAATACCTGCAACACTGCCACAGCAGGGGGAATATTTTCCAACCCGTTCCCACCATTCATTTTGCGCTTAATTTGCAAAAAAAAAACATAAACATTAATTTCAGCACTACGGACACCCCATCGTTTTTTGGCCAAAAGTAATGTTGGCAGAGCGCACAGCTCAGCTCAGCGCCACGTCATAAATTTGGTTAGCAGCTCGAAACATTTTTTTACCCTGCCCAGCAACAATTCCATTTCGCGCGAGAGCAATGACGTTGTCAGCAGCTGTCGCTATCTATCTGTAGTATATAGTATCTTTATCTGTTGGATATCTGTATGTCAGCGCCCCCATGGCGTCAGCGGAATCTATCAATCCATCCATCTATCTATCTATCTATCTATCAGTTGTTGTATCCATCAGATACGACTCCTCTCCTTCAGTGCAGAACAATAAACATTTCGATTCGATTTGATTCGTTCGATTTGCTGGAATTTTTCACACTATAAAAATAAACGATTATTGCTGTTTGCCTTCGTTTTGTTGTTTGTTTCTATGTGTGTGTGTGTGTGTGTATGTGTGGGTGGGTGGGATGGAAAATATATAGTCAGTGATCGGTAGAACAATGGCAGAATCTCTGTCTCTCAGGTGAGAAACTGCAGTTGAGTTCATCAGACGAGTTTGGAATTACAGCTCATCCCGCGATATTTCCCCGAGAGATGATAATCAGCAGTGCATTATGATAGAATAATAAAAAGAACCCGCGCCGCACCGCCTTTAACCTCAGGCATAAGTCACGCTTCTGAGCTCTCTCTGGGTCTCCAGGTCTACAATCTCTGGTTCTTCCGCCATTGGGTCTCCTATGATGTCATCATCATCACATTTCACATTTCACTTCCTCTCTGCTCCACTGCGCCACTGTAATATTACGTTAAAAAAAAACATACAAACAAAAACAAGAAAAATTGTCAGCTTTACTTCTCGTTTGGCTCTCTTTTTATTATCGTCTCTGAAGCTGAAAGCTGAAACTGACATTTGACAGTGAAACACTTTCGTTTTAAATGCTTTCGTTGTAGTGGATGTTGGTTGTCGCCTGCCAACAAACGCGACGTCTACATCGCTTTTGGACACTGGCGATAACTTGAAAATGTTGTTGCTTCCATTGGGGGGCATCGGGCATGGGGGAGCCCATGGGTGTGTGCTGGAATACGACTATATATTTTATTTATGTGTATCTACAATGGAAACTCATTTATTACATTTGTGATAAGTTATAGAGGGAAGCCGGAGCTTCAGTTTACTTTTGCCCTTAGAAGCGGCAACACGAAATTTTTCATATACACTCCTTCATTTTTTTGTAAAGTAATTATTATAAAAGGTGGAAATGGAATGGAATGCCAAAATATTTATATGTGCTCTAAGCTTGTAGTTCGAATGTTTTCCTGAAACCATAAACAACTCAAAAGAAATACAAAATAAATTTCAAAAATGGTGTTTTTAAAATATCTACTAATGGTTTTCTCAATGTTTGCAATTTTTTTTCAATTTAGAGCTTTTATTTATTAAACATTTACCATAAAAGCTATCAATATTTTTCCTTACTTTTTCAAGTAAATTACATTTTTGTTATTGTTTTTAAAGAGGAGGAGCACATTTTCTAAAGATATTTTTAAAGATTTGTTTGCTACCTAAATATCTAATGATTATGGCAATAACATAAATCAAATAAGTTCCTACAGCTGAAGCTAGGAAAAGGTTACACATTTATTCATAGAAAACATATATTCCTGAAATAGTAGTGTTCCTTTCCTTTAAAAATGTGCAATGGTAAGCTCTTTCCCCTTGCCAAAAGTAGTTTCCTCGACAAAGCTTTAAATCAAAATGAAAAAGCCCCATAAAAGGAGTTGCAAAATTTTTTATAGCTTGCTTTTGGGCGGTGGCGCAACAATTTTTGTATGCCCAGCTCCTTGGGTCATTTGTTGCGCAATTTTATACTCAAGTTTTTTTGTTGTTTCTTTTGCTGCACTTTAGTTTTGATGGGAAATGTAGGTCAGGACTTGGCTGCAGCCTTTGATATTTTTGCTTTCATTTAAAGTGCTTTACGTTTTTGCAGCATTTCTGAGGAACAACCAACCATTTTTAATGATGACACTAACTTAACATGCAACCCCTCTGATTCCTCTGTCTCTCTCTCTCTCTTTCGTTACAGGCGGCCTTTAGAGCAGACGACTGACTTTTAGTGGGGCCTGATAATGCGGGTAAGTTGACACAATTAACCGTACTCTCGGTACTCCAAGTGCCAGGTGCCACCAGGTGCAATGGCACTCTGGAGGCGCAACCTCATTAACACTTCAGCGACACATCCTTCTCCATGAGAGATGTAGGGGAGAAACCAAAGCAACAGAAACAGAGCTAGAAAAATAATATGAAGGGGACGGAGGCTTCAAATTAGAGAACGACGTGATTGATACCCTTGGAAGTTATTTGTTCTTATTTTTTATTTCTGATATGATAGATCAATCGGTCCTGGATATCTGTATGTTATCTTTGTACTTTTAAATTACATACTATAGCCCTAATTTCAATATAATTAAATTAATTGAAATTGCTTCTTTGCGCTACAAACTAATGATACACAGCATAATACCCTCAAGTTAAGGGTATAAAAAGTTGTGGCGGTAATTAAGTTTGCACTCTTAATGACGAAGACGACGACGACGAAGACGACAACAAGCTGCTATCTGTCGCGAGAGTCGTATGTGAGAGCCGGAGTGATAGAGTGAGTCTGCGGCTCCTGTGGGTGAGTGATGGAGAGACCGCCTCCGCTGGCAGGTAGTTTATCGTCGTTGCAGAGCGGCCCTAATGAGTCGGCGGTGGGTGTGGGTGAGCTGTCGTCTAATGGCCACAAAGTTATATAATCAAATGAAAGATGAAGGCGTTCGCCCGTCCATGATGATAAACTTTCGTAATAAAATCTGTGAGAACTGTTCCGCTCTCTCTCTCTCTCTCTCTCTCCCCCTCCCCCTATCTCTGTGAGCACACTCTCTGTTAATTGGAGGATGTAAACCGAAGTACAGTTGACCCTGAAGTGCAATGTGAGCCACAGCTCGTTAAAGTTCCATTGCCTACATTCAAGGGTAAGCCTCCACCTCCTTGCTCTTTATGGTAACCTTTTCTTTCGAGTGGACGTCAGTATATAAAAATAAAAATAGTATTATTGCCAGGGGCCGCCAAAAGGCCATAGGTTTATTGATATAACCTCCCACGGGAAAAAAGGTCGTGACGTGCAAAGCTCTCATGCTAAAAATGGTCGAAAAGTTAAGCGAGCGAAAGAGAGATTGAGACAAGGAGAGATAGAGAGTGGGTGTTCGAACTGCATTGACAATTTTCTCTTCTTTTTTTATTTTGTGTGAAGTAAACTTCCCTTTAAAATGAGTTTCCATTGCTGCTGCTGCTGTTGCTGCTTGTTGGCTTCTACAACACTTGGCTTCAAGGTCAATGTCTCGTGACAGCTTGGGACTCAAGTCTCGTCTCGTTTTCGTCTCTTCTGTGTGTCGCTCCTCTGTGCCTCCTCTTTGTGGTGTCTGCTATCATCGTGTACGCTTTTGTACCACAGATGAACCAAGCAGAAATCACTCAACGCAGCCCGTTTTTCAATCAAGACACGTGTTTGGCCCTTTAGCTTGAACTTCTGCTGTGGCGTGTGGAGTGGATTTGGAAATTGGAATTTAAAAGCCTGACAAAGTTAGTCAATTGGGAGGTGGAAACAGTTCACAGAAGTTCACAGATGGAAGAAGGTTTATTTTGTGGAAATTTAGATGTTTATTTGAAGATTATTTGTGTAGAATTTGAGACATTTCAGTGTTAAGTGGATTACGGAAGGAGAAATGAGATCAGGGGACGAGTTTTAGGAGTAAGCGTGTTGGTTCAGAGACCTCAAATGCTAAGCTGATACAATTGGCATTAAATCTTAAAAGAATTTTAAGCAGCCAGTAAATTTCAAATGTTTTGGAAAATATTTTCCAATAATTGAGCTAATTTTTCAATAAACAAACAGCCACAAAATATGTGAATTCCATTCTCGTTTTCTGCTTTTTTAGAGAATCTTTTACATATTTCGTTTCAGCTGGCACTTCATTTATTTGCCAATTTACGATTATGTTTGCACTTTGCATTGATGAAGCATCGACGGGTAGGCCCTGGGTGTGCACAGTACTTATCGGTTGTGCCGTTACATTCTGTAGGCGCCCCCCTACAGCGCTTATCTTTATGGACGCAGTCACTCACTCACTCAACCGACACTTTGGTCGGGGCAATCGGGCGTCGGTCGTCGGGAGAGTGGCAGAGACTGACCTCGTGGCTTTTGGCATATGCTGTGCCATATGTTACAGCTAGCCACCCGCAGCCACCCGTCTCTCTCTCACTCTCCCCGATTCGATCAGAACCGCAGTGAACAGAATTCCCGTTATTTGTTTGAATTTTTACACATCATTAGAGCTTAAATATTTTCGAGAGCACTGCGAGAGGGAAGCGGAATAAGAGGAGGCTTTTGGGAGATCACCCATTAAAAAAAAAAAAGAGAGAGAGGGGAGAGAGAGGAATGAGAAGGCAGCGTGTACTCGTATGCAAAAGCATTGCGACATGTGTGCAACAGCTGCAGCAATATGTGAATCGAGCATTAAGAATCGGGTAACGGAAACACTGCGACAGGGGTGGGATGAGGAGTATGGGAAATGGGGGCGAATGGAAGTGCCAGAAGATGCAGATGGGAACAAGTGTGAGACTCGAATGAATTTAATAGGGAATGGAGTGATGAAAATGTTCTAATGATAAAAAGAAATGATACAAATTCGATCATTTTTTCTTTTTCTTTTTTTCTTCTCTGTTATATTTTGTCTCTGAAAGTTATCCGATTCTAATAAAATCTAGTAAATAGTTCGATATTTTTTCCGCCCTTAACTCTCCTGAATATAAGCTAAATTAGCTTCGAAATTGTGAAATCCATAGCTTTTATATGATTAATAAAAGTTGAACAAAATTTCACCAAGTAAAACCTTGAACTCCACAAGTACAAAATATTGGCATAATCGATATACATACATTTTTTAAGGGGGCCCCCCCCCCCCTCCTCACATTTTTTTTAAATCCCCCCCCCCCCCCTATAAAAAAAAAAATTTTTTTTTTATTTACTCTGGCCCCTCCCCCCCAAAAAACACAACAAACTCTTTTTTTTTTTTTTTTTTTTTTTTTTTTTTTTCCCCACCCCAACCCCCCCCCCACCCCTTTTTTTTTTTTTTTTTTTTTTTTTTTTTTTTTTTAAAAAAAATTTTTTTTTTTTTTTTTTTTTTTTTTTTTTTTTTTTTTTTTTTTTTTTTTTTTTTTTTTTTTTTTTTTTTTTCCCCCCCCCCCCCCCGCCCCCCCCCCCTTTTCCCCCCCCCCCCCCCCCCTTCCCCCCTCCCCCCCCCCCCCCCCCCCCCCCCCTTCCCCCCCCCTTCCTTTTTTTTTTTCTTTTTTTTTTTTTTTTTTTTTCTTTTTTTTTTTTTTTCCTCCTTTTTTCCCGTCTGCCCCCCCCCCCCCACCAATCCCCCCTTTTTTCCCCTTCCCCCCCTTTTTTTTCCCTTTTTTTTTTTTTTTTTTTCTTTTTTTTTTTTTTTTTTTTTTTTTTTTTTTTTTTTTTTTTTTTTTTTTTTTTTTTTTTTTTTTTTTTTCCCCCCCCCCCCTTTCCCCCACCCCCCCCCCCCCCCCCCCCCCCCACCCCCCCCCCTCCCCCCCCCCCCCCCCCCCCCCCCCCCCCCCCCCCCTTTTTTTTTTTTTTTTTTTTTTTTTTTTTTTTTTTTTTTTTTTTTTTTTTTTTTTTTTTTTTTTTTTTTTTTTTCTTTTTTTTTTTTCTTTTTTTTCTTCTCCCCTTTTTTTTTTTTCCTCTCTCCCCCCCCCCCCCCCCCCCCCTTTTCCCCCCCCCCTTTCTTCCCCCCCCCTCTTCCCCCCCCCCCCCCCCCCCCCCTTTTTTTTCCTTTTTTTTCCTTTTTTTTTTTCTCCCACCCTTTTTCCCCCCCCCCCCCCCCCCTCCCCTTTTTTTTTTTTTTTTTTTTTTTTTTTTTTTTTTTCCCCCCCCCCCCCTTTCCCCCTCCCCCCCCCTTCCCCTTCTTTTTTTTTTTTTTTTTTTTTTTCCTATTTTTTTTTTTTCTTTTTTTTTTTTTTTTTTTTTTTTTTTTTCTTTTTTTCCTTCCCTTTTTTTTTTTTTCCCCCCCCCTCCCCCCTCCTTTTTTTTTTTTTTCTTCTTTTTTTTCTCCCCCCTTCCTTCCCTTTTTTTTTCCTCCCCCCTCAACCCCCCATCCCCTTTTTTTTTTTTTTTTTTTTTTTTTTTTTTTTTTTTTTTTTTTTTTTTTTTTTTTTTTTTTTTTTTTTTTTTTTTTTTTTTTTTTTTTTTTTTTTTCCCTTTTTTTTTTAACCAAAAATTTTTTTTTTTTTTAAAAAAAAAAACTTATTTTTTTTTTTTTTTTTTTTTTTTTTTTTTTTTTTTTTTTTTTTTTTTTTTTTTTTTTTTTTTTTTTTTTTTTTTTTTTTTTTTATGTACATATACACAGCGATAAGAAGGAAGCCTCTAACTTGTCAATTTTAATTACGACTAAATTTATTAAATGTTATTGATGATTGTGGACTTATCAAAGTTAAAAAATTAAAAGATAACTTAGTAAATTCCACTGTCAGCCCTCGCTGAACCCCATATACAGCATACGGACTGCTGCCGCCTCATTTGCTTCTTTGTTGCCGGCTGCTTGACAATTTCAGATGTCTGATGTCTGCTTATCAAATTGTCGCATCTAACGGTGGAGGTGGCTGGGCGGGGGGGGGACTGATTAGTGCCACAGACACTATCATTGTCTGGAGCTTGATTTAAAGCATAGCTCTCGTACATCTCATTATGCATCCGATGGAATTAATTGTGAGAATTGTAGTGTGTGTGTGCTGTTCATGGACTTGGCCTCCAAGCAGACAGACGGTTGCGACGGTTACGCCCCCACACACACGCGCAGAATGACACGAGTGAGTACTCGTACTCGTATTAGCTGTTTAGACAGAATGCCGGGGGAAAAGCGCACTGAAATGCAATGTAATTACCAGGCAAATGCCAAAGATACACCCCAGATGTGTGTGTGTGTGTGTGTGTGCACTCGTACGTAGATGCTTGTATGCTGTAATAGCAAGTGCCAAAGATAGTTGGCAATTAAGGGATATTTGTATGGGAAAGCATTACGCCTGGCAGACAGACATACAACTGAACTTTGTCGAGTCATTGGGCCAGGGGAAAATCATTCTGGGAAAGGTCTAATTAGTGGCAGTAACAGTATTTATCTTCACGATTGACATTTACGGTTATTAAAGCGAAAAATTACTTAATAGATTATGTATATTTTCTTGGAATTTATTTAGAGGGGCTATTCGATGACTAGAAAATGACAATAAATGTGCAAGAAAGGGTATTAATACTTTATAAACAAGAGATAAAGGAAGGTACACATTTTTTCTGAAATTCAAAGTGATTGAAAGATTTTCTGACGCTTAGAAAAATGCGAGGAATGCCAAGGAGTATGCATTAATTAATTTTTAAGTTTTAAACAATCGATAGAAGTACGTTATCTTATTTTGCTGTTTAAAGAATTTCTCTTAATGAGGAACTTTTCGGAGTTAGTTTTAGAAAATTCCTAATTCTTGAGTATTAAAATTTGTTTTTCGCTCTTGCTAATTAAATAAGTTTTTCTGCCATGGTTTCCATAACTTACTGAACTCTTCATTTTCGTAATTGCAATAAATATTGAATGGAAAGCATTGAATGGAAATCTCAAATGTTTTCATCGGAACGTTCCACCCCACAGAAACGTTTTGTTTATAGTCTGCTTGTCATCGACTGGCGCCAGCTGTTTGTTGTTGTTATGTCGCTTTGTTGTTGTTGTTGTTTGTTCTTTTGCCAACTTTTGCAATTCGATGCCAAGAGTCTCGCACCCAAGAGGTTTTTCGTATTTGCATTTGTTGCATATTTTGCAAGAAAATATTTGTTAATTTCTCTCTCTGTTTCCCCCCTCTCTATTTCTTTCCTTATAAATTTTTATATAGTAGTTTTTGCTGCTGCGTCATTGTTAATAAATAAAATACATACAGCCACAACCGTGGCCACCTTGTCCCCTAAAATGTTGTCACAGCAAGGTAAAGGTCAATGTGACATAATCAAAATTGTTTGCTGCGGGTTTTTTTTTCTGATTAATTTACATGTTGTGTTAGCTGCCCCCACACAAATTTCTGTGCGCTGGCTAATTGACATTTGGACAATGGTTTAATCAAAACAGATTGAGGAACAATTTGACAATTAACTTAGTTGAAACTTTTCTCATAATCAGTGAAAAAGAGTCCCTTGGGGAAAATCAAGAGGAAAGCAGAAAGAACTCATTAAAAAGGAATATCCCCCACCCCCCACGCACTTGACTTTAATGAAAAGGATATTAAGAGAGGAGAGGAGACGGAGACCCTTAACAATGTTGCAAGCTTTACGCGTAGTTTTCCAAGGGAGTGTCCTCTGGGCGAAAAGTGACTTGAAATCTCTTCCTCTCGTGATTCCCCTTTTCGTGCAGTGGGGATTGTAAGGATTGTAAGTCCGTTTCCAAAAAGGGAGTGGGACTGTAAGTCTGTTAGTCAGTTAGTGGGTCAGTCAGTGGCTTTACGTGTCAGCGAGCAATCCCTTTTAGCTTTTTTGGTTGCACGCGGATATTTTACTCAAGTCTCCCTTCGCTCAACCGCATGTCCACCCTTGCTACAACTGTTAGTTTCAGTTTAAACTGAGGATTACTTTTGGGTGCGGCTGTGGGGCCCAATCCTCCCCAAAAGGAGGGCAAATCTACTGAAATAACATTTCCAGTGATTTTTGTGTGTGTTACTTTTCGTACGATACGATATCCAGTGTCCAGTGGCATAATCCCCCTGAGGGCATAAGTGGGTTAATGGTTTTCTGTGTGTGTGTTTCTGATTGGTTTTGGCCATATTTGTGTTGGCCATTGGTGCGGCTAATGTGGGTAATGGACATAATTGGCGTGACGGGGATTTCACCCTGTGTCTGTGTGCATTACGGAGTGTGGTTATGACAAATCACTTAGGAAATCTGGCCATAAATAAAGGAAAAAAAGGAGAGTGCTACGGAGAGATTAAGGGAAAGAGATTATAGATACTAGTGCTTTCTACTTAAACGAAAAGTCCTGCAACCCCAACTTGCATTTAAAGGTATTTCCATCATCGAAACAACCAGAAAACTGTGTTTTCTTTTCAGTCTCTCATCACTAAACGGCTCCTAAAATGGTTCATTGAATTCTGACGCTCATGACGGCTCCCCCCATCGCCCGTGTTCGTATCATGGCAGTCATCAAAAGCAATAAATCACTTCTCGAACATTCAATTTTTTTATCCATTTTCCTCCTGCTGTGTCAGGCGCCTAAAAATATGCCGCATGACGGCATTTGAACATTTTTCAGGCCCTAGTATCAGTCAATCATTTTATCGCAATATACATGTAAATATCTGGAATATACTATGGCTATAATTGAGCCGCGACAACACTTAAATAATTAAAAAGAGCACCAACCACACGCAATGGGTGGGACAGGCCTACCATTTCCATTCAATTTCTTGGCACTTGGATGCAAATATTTACTGTATAATTTACTATATAATACAGAATGGATTTTTAGAAGCGGTTTCCCTTTATTTATGCACGCAAATCGGTGACGCATTACTCAGCCATGGGGTTTTTCTTTGTCTTATTGCCTGGGCGATTATTTCTAGATACCACAACCATCTTTCTGCTTTTTTGCTGTTTGCTGTTTGCATTCTGTTTCATCTCAAGCTCTTTGCGAATTTCTTTCGCTTTTAGATTGATGACTAATTTGCCGTTTCTGTTTTCTGTGGGATTCTGTGAACTCAGATTGTCTCTCATATGTCCCTCTTTGGTGGGCTCTAAACGTTCAGTCTTCGTGGTGTTAAAGTAGCATTCAGGGGAAGCAAGTGTAATAATACTCGCTATGTATTAAGTTTTGGAAGCAGATTCGCATAGAGAATAGTATTAAGATCGGGGTCAACAGATGGCATACACTATAATAAAAAGCAGGAAATAAATTAAATTGGTATTATGGAAGTCAATAAACCCTGGCAAACAACTTTTAGTGATAGATCGTTCTCTATTCATATTAAACCCTTTAAATAAATGATTTTACTCTAGCATAATTATTTTTGGGGTCACCAGAATCACTTGTGCTTAATAAATATTTAAAAAAAAAAACGTTATGTTGCCAGAATTTATAATCAAAATAAACATAAAACACACAGCAACACACACACACTTCAGTTCGTTTAAAACTCAAAACATTTACTGATTTTCATATTTTCTTTCGTTTTTGGGTTAATTTGTTTGCCCAGCAGTTGGAAGCCCACACCAGCACCACCCACCGTCAACCATAAAAAGGGCAAGCATGTAAGCAGCCGGAGGAAACGGAAAAAACGCTGATAAGAAAACTACAAAATATAAAAAAAAATATATATACATATATATAAAACAGAAACAAATAAACTAAAAAAGCAAAGCAAGCTCAAAACTCACCAAAGAATACAGAGTGATAGAGAAAAGTTTCTGAGTGAAAAAAAAAGAAGAAAAACATTCTCAGAGGGGTAAAATAGCCCTAGTTTCAAGTGCAGAGGCGGTGCCTGGCAACCGCCTGCAAGGTTTTCTTCCAACCAACTTCATCCATTTGGAGGCGCAACAGTGAAAGGCCACGGATTATTGGAAGGGAATTGAATGACACTACTCGGGCCTAGCGCCCCTGGCATGGCCTTTATGATGAAAAAGAAGAAGTACAAGTTCAATGTGGAAGTGCAGCTGCAGGATTTAGTTGAGGTTGCCCTCGTCAATGAGGTGCTCTTTGCCAAGATACGTCTACTGGATGGCGGCTCATTTCAGGAGTACAGCAGTCGGTAAGATCTACATTGTGCATGCCCTTCCATCTAGCACATACTTTAAGCTAATTTTCTTTTGCTTGTTCAGAGAGGAAGTGAAAAATCATCGCGTGGAATGGAATCGCAGCTTTGAGTTTCCCTGCAAAATGAGCGCAAATGCCTCGACGGGTGTGCTGGATCCCTGCTTCTTGCGCATCTCCATTCGAAAGGAGATGAAGGGCGGTCGCAGTTACTATAAGTTAGGCTTTATCGACCTCAATCTTGCCGAATTTGCCGGCGCCGGTCTCACATCGCGTCGCTTTCTCCTCGAGGGCTATGATTCGCGTCATCGTCTCGACAATTCCATGCTGAGAGTAAGCATCAAAATGCATATGCTAAGCGGTGATATACTCTTCAAGGCGTAAGTGCTTCGATTTCCCCTCTGGATTTCCTTTTTTAAATGGTTTTTTTTTGTTCGTTTCGTACAGACCCACCCCGAGTCTAAAGAGCAAACAGACGAAGCCCTCCATGGATGATCTGACGAATGCCGCCACCGGAGTGGGTCTGCAAACGCCAACGGCTACGGCGTTGCCCAGCATCGGGAGTGGGAGTGGTGGCAATGCCATTCCCCTGGGCGGCAGTGGAGCCACACTGGGCGGCGTCTCCAGCAACCAGTCGCTGCCTGGAACGCGACCCGTGTCGGCCACCAAGGAGGAGGGTAGGACCCTTCCACCGCCTAACAATGACAGATCGAAGATTAATATTGGGATTATTCGTTTTGCAGAGCTCGACCCGCAAGCTCTGATAGCGGCCATTGTGACGGACTCTGGCCTGTCGGAGTCCTCGGAGTCGGCGGTAACGCTTACCACGGATAATCTGCAGCAGCATGCCGCCGCCGCTGCCTCCAATGCCATCACACCGCTGCCCCATGCCCTCACAGGACTGGGGATCATTGGTAGCAATAATTATGGCACCACAGGCGTCTCGGGAGTAGGCGGTGGCGTCGGCGGCGGCAATGCAGTCAACACAGCCGCCCTGATGGAAATGGGTCATTCGAGGAATTCCAGTAATACTAGTCAAGTGAGTGGCCATGGAATATATTGCACCCAGTGGGGCCATTAACTAATATGTTTGTTTACTCCTCCACGCTCGTTGTGCCATTCAGATGTCAAAGGGTTCGGGTTATAGTAGTTTTTCGCACAGTCAACATTCGAGGCAAAGTTCCGAGGGCGATTCGGGGCATGCTAGGTAAGTTGATCAACTCTGGAATTAAAATATCCCTTTCACTCTGCTATAAAGTGTATAAAGGCCTACGACTTAATTTCTTTGTGAACTATTTTCATTTTTTATTTTTTTGCCTACGATTCGTACTCTTTTTTCTACAAAATCTGCTCTCTAATCTGTAAACTACTATATATGCGCTATATAAATGCTAAAGCCTACAGCCAAATCTCTCTCTCTCTCTCTCTGTACAAAACTGTGTCTAAAACCAAAACCTCTATTTAAGCCAAGAGATAAGTCTGTGGACTTGTTTTTGAATCTCTAACCAAATTGCACGTTCAATGTGTACTAAAAAAAACAAACAACAAATTCCAACAACTTTAACACACACACTAAACAAACACAAACACACACACACACACACACACACATAAACTTACACTTTGATATTATTTTATTTGAATTTTTCCAAATTTATAGTAATTTATTCTTTAGTTTAGTTTAGTTTTAGCTGTTCCATTCTTTTATTACTAAGTTAGTTTTAGTTCAACTCTGAGATGTACGTTTAAAGTGCTACAAATAATTTATTAAATTTATAGAATAGATAATATTAAAGGTTAGACCCTTGAGCATTATTCCTATACCTTAAATATTTATGCAGAAGTCATAGTTATCAAATCACACGGGCCTCGAAAGTAACGTTGCGACTGTTGATTTGCTTTTAGTCCATCTATCAACCTTTCATGCTGTCATACAGAGCAGTTAGATAAAGATAAAGTAGTGAGTAATGTAGATGAGTTCATTGAAATACGAAATACCTTAAAATGTTGTCTGATATTGAAAATGAGATACAAAATACATAGAAACTATTTGGAAACAATTCCTCATATCACTCAATCTTATCCTAGTATTATATGTCAACTGTCTTTACCATTTGCAAGCCATATCTAATAGATTCAAACCAAAGTCCTTCAATTGAACTTTTAGTTAACTCTTAATTAGAGTAAATACTGACTTTCTTTAGTTAATAGAATAACAATATTCGTTAAAACTTCAAAAGCTATGTATAAGAAGATTTGTATTTGAATGCCAAGAATTTCTTGGTATATAACCTTTCTAAAAAGATAAAAAAAAAAGAAGATGTAGAGCTAGTAGCTAAATCTCTTTCTTCCATGACTCTATGCCCTTAGCTTAACAGTAGTTCATTCGAAAATCCCTCAAAAAACGTAACCCTATCGTGGGCACACTTCTACATACATACGTAAACGATGCTAACTGACAGTTCCATTATAAACTGGAGGTTATCTGCACTCCACACTCGTCTGCAGGGGCTTCCGTCTGAAGATATTTCCTTCAATTATGTTATGCAAATTTCTAGTTAGTAAATGTGCCGCCACCAGCAGTTCTGCTTGGGATGCGGGATGCTGCAGCTGCACACACAGAACAAAAAAAAAAAAAAACAACATGCAACAAATTTCCCATGGCAAAAGTTTAAGGTCAAACGACGGCAAGTGCATGCAGACTCGTGTATGGCAAAAGTGTTCTAATATCCTTTGTGCCTTCCGTGACCAGACTGGTTGGCTGCTGGCTGGCTGCTGGTTTCTGGCTGCTGTTAGCCGCCACTGTGCCTCGTGTGGCAGAGAGAATGCATTGCATGTTGGCTGCATTTCAAAAATGCTGCATGTTGTGTTGTCTGTGATTAGCGTTAGGGTTGGGTTGGATGGGGGACTGTGGGTACACACAATATGAAAATTGTTGAGCCAAAGAAATGTTTTTCGCTAAAATATGAAGCTCTGATGACTTCATCAGCTGTGTGAGGCTACCAAAGGTCGCTTGCCCCTGAGATTTGTGGCTTTTGGCCTTTGCACAAAAGTTGTGTGCCACACAGCCTTGAGTGAAGAGAAGCAGGAGAAATGTTTTTAAAATGTGGGAGATTTGAAGATACTTTTGCGTGAAATTTGGCTAAATAAAATAAAGTTAAATAAACCATAAAAACCCTACTTTATTGAACCTATTTGTAATGGTTTTTCATCACATTCCATTAGCACCATTAGGTTTCTGGTTAATTCTGTAATAATTTATATAGGAAGTCCCCAACTTAGTTCTAAGAAAATTAACTTAAACTCATTCAGTATTAATGGTTAAGGTCATACATTATTTAATCCCAAGGCTGGTTTTTTTCCCACCTCTAATCTGGTTTTATGGTAGCTTTTATAATTTATTTATTTTTAGTGGAACTAATTTAATTTTTAATTTATTTGTTGGCTAAATTGTTTTAACACAAAATTTTTGTTTTTCTTTCTTTTTCTTAACCAAAAATACTATATATATATTTTGTATATAACAACAAATATGGGGTAAATGGCCAACAAAAAAAAAACAACTAACCAAATGCAATAAATACCTTTAAAAATAACATTTTTGTAAAACAAACTAAAAAAAAAAAAATCGAATCAACGAATCATCGTCCAAATGCAAAAATCAACAACAAACTATAGTCGTTTTAGAAAATCCGTTTCTCTACTCAATAGACTCAATCAGAGGGCAATAAATGCCATGAAATTGAATATACCACATGGCCGGAAAGGTCACGAGAAGGAGAAGCAGCAGCAGCAGCAGCAGCAGAAGGAGCAACAACCAAAAGTGGTGGGCCTTGTTGCCCCAACCAGCCACCAACATGCGCACCAGACGACCCACCTGAGCCTCACCACCACCATTGAGTATGTGAGCGAGGAGCAGTTGTATTCGACACCAAATGCCACCATGAACACTGGCCATACCCTGCACTTTGATGAATTTCACACGCCGATGGCAGAGATACCTGTGGAGCCACAGTTCCAGCCGGTAGCGACAACCACACAGTATTACGACAGCGGAGAGGCCAGCGACACGGATGAGTACATGAATGAGGATTCGGGGGACAATGATTCGGGCCTAGAGGAGAACTATCACACACCGCGAGTGGCCAAGATCAAGTCCATGGAGAATCTGTCGATACTGGAAATGGAATTCCACAAGGCATCCATGGAACTGGATCGCAACTCCCCGCGACGGCTCAAGCAGCTGGCCGAGCACGCCAAGATACCCAAGATGAAGTCGCTGAATAATCTCTGCTTTGACGACTACTCGGAGCAGGATGTGCGCGAGGAGTTCCAGCGCATACATGATCAGTCGATGGAGGAGCGACTGCGCTTCCAGCAGCATCACCATTTCGGTACGGGGCTGCGCAAGAACTCCACCGCCTCGAATGGATCCTCGGGGAAGCTGTATGTGAAGCATCAGACGCACCAGAGCCACCACATCAAGGTGGGCAATGCCAAGTTCATCGGACAGGATGGCAACGATAGTCCACAGAGCCCGCACTATCCCATACAGAAGATGCGCTCGATGGGCACCATTCCGGACGTTGTGAGCGAACGCATCGAGGCGGATCCCTTCCTTACGCCCACCACCGAAAGAAAACCGAGTTTCCCGCGCTTGATACAGTCGGCTGAGAAGCCAGCCCTCGGCTCCAGCTATGTGAATCGGCTGCTCAACTACGACGTGGTGGATTCCCCAGCGGAACTGCTGGCCAACTCCGTATCCTTTATGTCGCGCACACCCTTCGAGCGGGCCTATCGGCGTAACATCCTGCAGGGCACTTCCTCGACCCCACTGGCCACACAGGAGACCTACATCGTTCGGCCACATTCCACGAATGCTGCCTACGAGCTAATGAGGTTCGTCGCGCTTTTATTTTCATATCAACAATCAAACAAAGATCATCCAACTAGCAAGAAGAATGGGTTACTCGTTACTCGTTGAAAGTTAATCGTTTATCGTTACTCGTTAGACTCCTAGACTGTGTTCTTGAATGCTTAGAAAAATGCTCAGAAGAACGTTTCTCTAGCGTCCATTGTCCCTTGTCCTGGTCCTTGGTATTGGTATTGGTCCACCTACCACCACCTACACACAGCCGTTATTCTCGTTTCCATTTAACATGCGATTATTCACATATTATTTTCGTTACTCGTTACACCTTTATTTTTCTTTACCCGTTACTATTTTATTTAGTTTTGTTTTTGTTCTGTTTCGTTTCGTTTCGTTTCGTGCAATCGTTTATACTAATCATTTAAAGAGCCTTTAAGGTAGACATAAGTTTTATATAACGATTATAACATGTTTAAATGCAGTTTTGGGACACTGCAGATTCCCCAACCCTTGTACAGCATAATGCCTTTATGGAGAATTGGTTTCTAAACACGCTCCTCTCTTACTTACCCTCCCTCTCCCTTGGTGAAATTAATGATCTAATCAACACGGAAAAACATACGGCCCTAATCTAAAATATAAGCGATTCACCTTAATAATGGAATTTCACTAAAAGCCACTCAAAAGAGCATTCCAACAAAAAGCAGTTGCCTCTTTTGCCATAAAGCAATTAAATGGTGTGTAAGCTAGTTAGCCTTACCTGTAAAATGGCCTTCTACCCCCCATGCTCTCCGTTCAAGCCACCCACAAGAACATGTACAAGCCCTTGAGGTCACCTCAGAAGCAGCAGCAGCAGAGCCTGAGTGAAATGAAATCTGGGACAAGGATGTGGCCCAAGTGCAGGGCCACCTCAACGCAGATAGACGCCCCCGCACCCTCTGTGATGTTGGCTATTTGTCTGAAATTTTTATGAATTTTGTGCGACCCTCTAGCTCTGCTCTCAGATTTTGCCCAATTTAAAATTCAATTTGAGGCGAATCTCAGATAAATTTGCATAGAGAATCAGCTCCAGAGCTCAAAGTAGAGCGAGCGTGGAGCGTAGAGCGTAGAGCAGGGATGCCGGATAGTGCTTATAAATTGTCAGGGCCTGGCCATTAAATGCTGGGTCCGACAGTTTGCTCTCTGTCTTGTTTGAGGGGGCAACATCATTCAGGGGCGACAGGTCAGGGCTATATCAATGAGAGATAGATGTGTGTGACTGTGGCGTCTGTGTGCGACATGCTACTGGCGCGTGTGCGCTTGGGTTTCGTGTCGTAATGGATGAAATAAATAATGAAATTGCTGGGAAATATATCTGGACTTGCTTTAATTGTAGAATACGATGGATTTATATTGGTTTCTTGAGCATTAAATCTGATTTAAGGGGCCTGTTTTCTGGCTGGGGGTTTTTTTTTACTGAAATTAAAATTAAGTGAGTGTTTTTTTCCTTTAAATTTCTCAGTTTTTTATGTTTAAGAGAATTTATCTAAATTGTTCTGTTATATTTAATTTCCTATAAATATTAAGCCACACACATACACAGACACAAAAATATCCGATACACCTTATACATATATATCGAATCAATATCTTTATATCGAATACCCTACCCCTACTCAAAAAATGCTCTTATCATATATAAAACGCATAAATCAAAATCAAAAGCTTCTTAAATATATAGAAAAATGTTCTTATATAAATCAGCCAATAATTTGGTTGCTTTTTTAAGTTGTTTAAGTTTTTCCCAAAAAGAAAAAAAAATATGTTTTTATTTTGCAAAGATAATTTTTATGTTATATGTGTGTCTAAAATGAATATTCGAACGAATGCAGAAGCTTCAGTGGAGTTCCTCGTCGCCTCTTCGATGGCAACAACAGCAACAGCAGCAGCGGCGGCGGCGGCGGCGGCAACAATTGCCAGAACAGCAACAACATTTCTGGGAGCGGCAGCAACAGACAGCAGCAGCAGCAGGCTGGAGGCAATACCAGCACTTGCTATGTGCTGGGCTCCAGCTGTTCACCGTGTGGAACCCTCGCAAGCATACACTCGAATCACTCGGCCTCCTCGTCGAATGGAAGCAACAGCAACAGCAGCAGCAGCGGGGCAGTCATTACCTTCCAGTGCAACTCGAGCTGCGGCCAGGACACTGTGGATGGCCCGGTATCCTACTCCCCCCAGCAGCATCAGCAGCACCAGCAGCAGCAACACATGAGCGTGGGTTCCCCCAATGGCCATGGCAGCAGTCCACGGCTGGGCAACGTTATGTCTGGGGATGCCCTCAGTTCACTGGCCGCCAGTCCCACAGATGCGTGCAGCATACGCTCCAATCCATCGGCGGCCTCCCTGCTGCTCTCCACCTCTGCGGCGGCTGCCGAGGCCTCCGCTATGGCCTCGGCCACCACGATGTCCATGTCGGGAGCAACGCTCTCGCCGCTGGCCACCACACAGATCATACGCCGCCCCAGCATTCCCATGATGTGGGTTCACATTCGATCTATGGCTGCTATTGCCTTTGCATAATGTTAGCTTTTAAGTTGGTGTACATCCTACTTCCTCCTGAGTTGTTGCACTCTCCCTCTCCCTGCCGAAATCAGTGCATTTTCCACACTACATATGTCCATGTATAATATCTTTTGAGTAAGGATATGATGTGTGTGAGTGTGTTCTGTGTGTGGAAAATGTCCTGGCAATAGATCCCGATTATTTACTTTGTATGTGTCTATGCTAATTGTTTAAGTTTCACCACGAATTTTATATAGATCCCCAATATTTGTGTGCATTTTAAATGTATTTTTAATTTAAAATTTATTTATAATTTAAGAATTAATTTAAATATATTGTAAAATGTTCAACTAGATGTTTTTGCACACGTACCATATGTGCAAGCTCATTTTAACCATCAACTGCTATAATATTCATAATTTTTATGATTTATTCATGCCTATGATTTTCCTCCTCATTATCCAAGCATTTCTTGTTTCCCCCAATTTCCATATTTTAGCCACATTCTTAAGGCATGCTCAATCATTATTCGTTCAGTATGATATCCCTTCATATACCGAGTTATTTTTGAGTTTATTTAATTTGTGGGCACTGTCGTTTCATGACATTCAGCAATAGAAAAGATAAATATATATATTTTCAAGCATGATATATGTATGAGTATGACCCAAAACGTGGCCATAGTTTGTACCGTTCTGCCTCTCGTTATTCTGCCTGTTGTTCTGTTTACTTTACTACCCGCAAATGAAAAATAGAGCACCGAATTTAAGTTATTTATTATTAAGTGTATCACATTTAAATACCCGAATTAACATTTACTAATTTCCATATTTCGCTTTGTTTCTCCAGGAATCCCAGTTCCGGCTCGTTAGTTATAAGTGAAACAGGATCTCTAGATCGCTCGAAAAGTAGCGGCGAGAAGCGCAAGAAGGGGGCACTGGATGATGGGCCCCGCGTTTCGGATCGTGTGGAGGAGACGCGCGTAAATCCCGACTCGTTAATCGATGAGATTTTGAAGGATACAAAACTGGATCAGCTGGAGGAGTCGGCAGAGAGTGAGTAACCAAAAAAAAAAAAGAAAGTCTTGGGGCTGATAATTTATAATTTCATTTATTGCTTCTGCAGCCTCTGGCCTTCAGCTGTATATCGCGCGGGATGGTACCGCCTCACTGGGCGGACACGAGGTGAAATCCAGTGTCCGGGCGGGTGCCCTCAAGCAGGTGGTCATGCAGGACAGAAGATAGTAGCGTCCCTGTTTTGTAAAATGTATTAGAAGACTAACTAAGCAAGCAGAAAGTAAAGCTAAAGCTAAAGCATAACTAAATGTACTAGTTTAAGATGTGTGCAAAAATACGTTTACTTGCAACCTAAAAGTGAGAATCAATATATATATATATATACAATATATACGCTATATATGTGGGTATATGATGAATGTATGTCATGTCGAAACAACAACACTACACTACTATTGAATGTAATTTATCTATAGCTATTATCTATACTATATAGTATATATGTATGTGTATGCCTATATATACGATACGATACGATACGTTACGATACGATACAAGTGGAGTGTGTCCAGCCCCTCCCACGTTTCGAAAAGGAAAACCAAAAAACCAAAAATCACATGAACTACAACAGCTGCTTGCACTTTACATATAGCAATACAAGAAGTATATGCATGCAGAATTATTCACGTAGAGGAGAGAATCTAAAATCCAATTTATTCATTTGCTAAAAATTTTGAATTAATCTTTTGATTTATTGCTTCCATAAGAGAGACATCCAGTCTCAATATAAGAAAATATTCAAATGAAAACCAAACGCAAATCGTAATCTGCTAAAAAAAAGAAACAAATCATACATGCCATACCCATACCGATACACATCTACAAACATAATATTGAAATACCTTCAAAGTGTAATCCCAAATTGTAATAATCATCGAATCAATCAAAATGGTAATAGTTTTCATGTGAAATATCTCACGTATGTAATTTGCATTTTGCTTTGACAATATTCACACACACACACACACCAACACTCACACATATGTATGTATGTATGTATTTATTTTTTACTATTCTTCACAAAGTTTTAACTTACTTTCACACACCCTACCACCCCCCAAAATATGTAATTGTTGTACATTTGCTAACTGGTATTCTTAGCGTGTAGTTAGCATTTTAAATCAAGAGAAATTGCATCATTGAATCCGTTTAAGTATCCACGTGTTTCGATCAGAGAATTTTTGTGTTTAATATTTTGTATGATAGAAAAACCGCAAAAGAAAACCGTAAGGGACAAAACAAAAATGCAATTAGTTATTAGCCTGTAGTTTATGTTGGATACAAAATAATGTCTGTGTAAAATTGCTTTAGTTATTTTTTGATAATTTGTAAAAAGTGAAGCGGGGAGTTATCGAAACGCTCGAGAGTTAGTTTTTTAAATTGTACAAAAAAAAAACAGAAAAAAATAAATACAAAATCCATGGTTGATGATTGTCGAATATTTTCAGTTGGCCAATTGTTGTTGTTGAAACCCAGAAATGTGAAACACTCTAATTTACTATCGCCCCTACTGATATGAAAAAACATGATTTACCGTTATCTTTGAAGCTACCTAAAGATTAGTGAAACGTTTGAAAAGCTCATGGAAGGTACCTTTTACTGAACCTCTTACTAGATAGCAAACAGCAATTGGCCAACTTAATTGACAAAATTTTTGTGAACATTTTTGAGCTGAACTTGCGAAAAGTTTCAAATACAAACCAACAACAGAAAAACATGTGAAAAATTCAATTACCAATAATAAACATGAATATAGTGAAAAATGTACTAAATCAATATTTGCTTTATGTTTATTCACATAAATTCAAAGAGCATCCTTCACAAAACGCAGATAGGTTCCCCCTTTTGCAGTTAGGACGAAAGCCTTTGGATCGAACACCATCTCCGGCAGTGTCCTCTTGCACTGCTCCACCCGAAAGTTCTTGAGGATGTGCAGGAGTCCCACTTTGATCTCCAGATGCCCCAGGAGGGTGCCAATGCAGCCCCTAGGACCGGCACCAAAGGGCAAATACGTCATTGGATGGTGCTGCTGGCGTTGCTCCGGTGAGAAGCGTTCGGGGTCAAATTTGTTCGGATTGGGCCAGTGCTGGAAATGCATTAAATGTAACAATATGGACCGTAACAATATATTTAATAGTTTGCGTACCACTGGATCCCGATGGAGTCCCAGCACGGAGATATATACAGGTGCGCCTGCAGGTAATTTTAAAGCTCTGCCACAGTTCCATGAGGACAGATCATAACCGTTTTCGTCATTGCAGCAACGGTCCAAGAATGCAGTGGGAGGATACAGCCGAAGCACTTCATCTACCACCTGGCGGAGGTAGGATAAACCATTCACCGAATCAAAGTCCAGAGGCTGATGCCGGTTGGCCCTGAGGGCATCACTGAGTTCCTGCCTCAGTCGTTTCTGAATGGCTGGCGCCTTGGCCAGCTCGTACAGCGCAAAGGTTATCGTAGATGAGGAGGTATCGAAGCCAGCCAGCAGCAGAAACGAAGCCTGGGCGACAAAGAAGTCGGGCCGATGGATAATGCTCGTTGGGGGCTCGGTACGCTTCAACTGCAGAAATATGTCGATCAGATCGTGACGTTTTTCGCCACTCTTCTCGCGTTGGGCCAGTACAAAGTCCATGGACTGGCGCATGAAGCGCTCGTACTCAGCGGAGTAGAGATGAGTGCGAACCAGACGCGACAATCGCGGGAAGAAGAACATTGTGAAGAGATGGAGCAGCCGCTTGGGCCGCGGGTCGTTGACCTCGACGCACATGCGACGAAACTCTGCGTCGGGTTTCTGCAGACTGTGCGCCTCTAGACCAAAGGCCAGCGAGGCTATGATGTCTGTGGTGAAGAGAGCACACAGCTGCTTGACCTCCAGCTCCATTTCAGATTTTCCATTCAGCTGCCCCTCCATGTGTTCCTCCAGTTGCTGGCCAATGTGCTCCAGCAGACCGTACATCTGACGCACCTTACTCACCGCAAAGAAAGGCGCAAAGATCTTGTGCGTCTCCCGCCAAGTCTCGTGCTTGGAAAAGAACAGATTTTGGGCCCCCATCGTGTCCCCAATGGGGTCTGTGGTCTCGAAACGGCTCGAGAACTGGGAAAAATCATCCGCAAGTATTCGTTTAATCAGAGCCGGATCTCGCAGGAGTAAGGCATGGTTATGAAGCACATGTATGCCCACGTAGGCGTGGCCAGCAGCTTCCTTACTCTCATACAACAGTCGGAACTGATCGCCGAAGCAGCAGCTGCCGCGCAATAGTTTCCAGACATTCCCCACAAAGGGCGTGGCCCGAATGTAGGGGACACCAAGACGTAGCCAGTGATGGAAGTGATGCCGCTGCCACAGCCAAACGATCCCGAAGATGAGCGGACCAGTTGCAAGCACCAATGGAATAACCACAAAAAATCCAATAGCAGCAACAGCCGCTGCAATGCACAATAGACCGACTACGAGTATCATGATGACGTGAGGAATGTCAGAGCACCAGAACACAACTGTAGACTTGTTCGCCTGCTAAAGTGAGCAAAGCTTTATTGCCGCTGATTTAATAGCAGCGACAGCCGCTGCAATCAGCAACAGGCCGATAACGATAACGGGTATTACATGAATAGAACTGCCATCGTGCTCGCCTGCTAAAGTGCACCAAGATAAATTAATTCCAGCTTTATTGATAGTCCACTACTATCTGACAACCAAAAGACACTGTCAACTGCATACATATTTAAATAAATTAAAATAATATAAAAATGTATTTTTTACTTATTAATTGCGAGAAATAGCTGAGCTATAGCGTTTTAGCTAAATATCGGACATTCCACCCGGTCGCGAAGATGGTGGGGGTGCACCCACCGAGGCCAACCAGATATATAAAAACCACTGCATAATTTTGGGGTTGGATTTATTAGAAAAGTTTAGCATACTTTTCGGCTGGTCAATTCGGCCAATATATTACAAAACTGCGTGTAAAGGGCGTATCCTTCCAGCTCTGAGGTCCTTGATGGATTCAAAGGACACAGTAGACTCTTCCGCTTACGAGGACATGCGTCACGTCTGGACCGGTTGAGAAATGGCGGAGTTATAACAATTGTATACTTAGTCCTTAACGTCCTTGATGTGAAATTGATTGCAAACGATCGGGGGGACTATCCTGATCACGAAAAGGTGTGGCATACCTTTATCGGTCGACTAATAGCCGAGATATCGCGTAACAACAAAAATACTGGTTTTCTCTTCCTGACGCTATATCTCGGCCAAATAGGGGTAGATCCTTGAAGGGCCAACTTTTTCAGGATTGTGAGAATCCAGACTGTCGATTACTATCCAAAAAATAGACATCTGAGGAATACTGGTTTTCGCAAAAATCATGATGTAACCATCATCGTTTTTGCGAAAACCAGTATTTGCCGAATGTCCTTTTTTCGGATGCCATTCGATGGAAAGGACTCTCCTGATTACAAAAAGACATGTTACGCCCAGATCTGCTCCTATTTGGCCGAGATATGGCTGGATTACCAAAAAACCAGTATTTTAAAATTAGGGCAGCCAAAAGTTTGGGACGCTATATCTCGGCCAATTGAGCTCGGATCGGGGCAGGACTTACCTTTCCAGAATCGTTAGGATCCAGACTGTCCATCGGCTGTAGTCTTAATCCGATCAGATGGAGGCGTGGCCCGCCCTGATTAAACTAAAAATGGCGAAGCAATAAAGGATTTTTAGCGGTTCCAAAGCAATATCCTTATTTTCCTTGATGTCAAACGATAAGGAACATTTTCCCGATCACGAGAAGGCGTGGCACGCCCAGATCGGACAGGAAATGGCAGAGTTATACGCATTTAAAAAAACGCTATAAATTGCTGCCAGTTTCGTATCGGCCAGCTTTTGACATGATGTAAAAAAGAAAAACCAGCTACCTTCTGCTGATTGCTGTTCGCCTGGTACTCGGTCTGAAAATTTTCTGGTTTTCGGCCATTTGAGCCTAGCAATTTAAAAAGTTAGTTCCAGCATTTGCCGTATGTGATAATGGGGCCGCCACTGTGCGAATGAAAATTTCAGACCGAGTACCAGGCGAACATTTTATGGAGTCATTATCAAGGATCAAGGACAAATAGTCATACATTTAAATTTGTCCGCTAATTGTGGACCTATCTGGGATCGGAAAAATATCCTTCTAGCCCATATCAAGGATCCTTGGTGAATAAAAACACAAATCATTTCAAAAACTTGTAAAATCGTTTGTTTATTTTACGCTTAAGTCATAGATTGTAGGCACTATTTGCTGCACTGCGTCAATTGCCGCTGGCTGCCAAACTCTCGTATAAAAATCTGCCCAATTCGCATTTTGTACAATTCATGCAGCCGAACAATTTGTTAAAGTTCTTTGTTAAAATAAAAGACCGAATTAAATAAATTCATATCACGGGCAGCAGCAGGAACGGTTAGGAGCCATGCAGATTGGGATGCTGGCCACTTGAGTTCTGTAGGGCTTTTGCCACCTCCTCCTGCAACGTGCTAGGCGGCTCCGACACAATGTCCGTGTGCATCGATAGGTACTTCAATTTGTTCGTAACAGCTAATAGAGGAATAAATATGATATCAGTTAATTCCTTGGCCAGAGCTAGAGATTTGGTGATGTGCTTACCGGGTCGCAGATCAATAAGTGAGCAGTGCTGATCCACCCAGAGAAAGGCGGTGCGACGCAGCTCATCCAGACTGGCACTCGAGACGGTTGAGGTGTATGAGGCAAGCAGCGGCTCCAAAATGAGACCCAGCTGTAAAGGAAAGTGAATATTTGAATAGGTATTCAAATGCGTGGCTATGCCATCTACTTACGATCCAGAACTTCCAATCGTTCATCGTATTGTATCGCACATATATCTCGTATAGCTGACGAACATGCTCTGTGCCCTGCCGGGTCACAGGCGCTCCATTTGCAGGCAGAATCGAGTGGAGGTGCCTGTAGGGAGCCCAAACGACTATAGAGTAACAATTCACATGAAAACCAATATGCTTCTTACGTTAGGGAGTTGTTCAGCTCGTCTCTCTCCGTTCGCATCGCCTCGATCTTGTCCTTGAGGATATTGCGCTCTTGCCGCAGCTGCTTTATGTGGTCCGCTCCCTTCTGCAGCATAGCCGCTTTACTCAGCTTGGCATTGGGGTTCTGCTGCAGCTGTGGTATGAGCGCATGCAGCGTGTCGAAGCCATTCTTGATGTTATAGCGTCGCTTCTGCTCTGCATGGATGTGACCAGCACGCCGCTGCGTGTCCCTTGGCTGATACTTTGCCGATGGCGAGAGCGGGGAGCCCTGCGACTCGTGAAACGGCGAGTCCGGCGACAGACTCAGGTTGCTAGATCCGCCAAAACTGTGCATTTTACCGAGGCCGCCCGGTGGACTATGCTGGGCGGGATGTGCTGTTATGACCATGGGCAAGGAGGCGGACTTCTTTGGTGAGTGTTGCTGTGCTGGCACGGGCACTGACAATGGCGTTGAGACGGCAGCATAAAGAGCCGGCGACACGTTGATGCTGTTGTTGCTGGTCGTGGCTATGGCACTGCCGGAAGAAGAACTTGACTGTTGCGAGCTGTTTGCCACCGCTGACTGCAGGCGTGTATCTAAGGGTAAACCGCATTAGCAAATGGTAGGGATCTACTTTTGGTTGGGGGCCACTTACTCGATGTCAGGAGCTGTGCCAGAGTGCTGTTGAGCATTGGATCGCTGGTGGCTTGCTGCATTTGCTGTGTAACGAGCAGATTGCTGCAACTGTGGGCGCTGGCAGGCGAGCTACCCGCTCCTGCTCCTGCAGCAGCCACTACCGACTGCTGGTGCATCGAGTTGCTGCGCACACGGGACTTTCCCTTCGCATGATATTTGGGCACGGCAAAGGGCTGTTCGTGCTGGACTGCGTGCTGCTGGCTGCGGGCATCGTGCAGCTTGTTCAGCGATACATTCAATGGCAGGCTATTGGAGCGATGAATCTCCTTGGGCAAGACGGTGTTGGGAGTCACCCAAGTGGCGGTGCTGACAGCAGGAGGTTGTTGCTGCTGCTGCTGCTGTTGTTGTTGCTGCTGTTGCTGCTGCTGCTGCTGCTGTTGGTGCTGTTGTTGCAACAAACTGGCCACAGTGGATTGCTGCTGCTGTTGGTTGTTGTTCACCTGCTGTTGGCGCGTCAGCTGCATAAGCTGTTGAGTGCTCAGACCCAAAGGTAGCGACTGCTGCTGATGCATTTGCTGCTGCTGCTCCTGTTGCAGATATCCCTGCTGTTGCTGCTGCTGCTGCTGCTGTTGTGGCAGTCGTGGTACATTGAGAAATGTCCCTGTCGAGGCTGACTTCTTGAACTGCGGATAGGGCTTGTAGCCGATGGAGTTGTAGCCGCCGACGCCATCATTCAGCAATGACAGCACATCCGCCTGCAGGGGTTCCACCTTGACGCTGAGCTGCTGCTGATGCGCCTGCTGCTGGTAGTTATCCGTGTAGCTGCTCAGGAAACTTTGATTGTTGAAAGTGTTTGTCTGTTGCGTGGGAAAATGTTGCTGCTGTTGTTGCTGCTGCTGCTGTTGTTGTTGCTGTTGTTGCTGCTGTTGCACTGCCTGAAATGTGGCCGCTTGCAACACAACACCTGCGCCCAGATGCTGCTGGTTCTTCTGCTGCTCGGCCAGCATCTGCTGATAGATTGTGGTCTGATGGAGCGTCGGCTGTGCCTTGTCATAGTTGTGCGGCTCCCTGCGGAACGGACGCTGTGTGCTCTTGGCCACACGTCCATTGATCACACACCGATTGCTGCCATCGTTGTTGCTGCTGACGACACCAAAGTGCTTGCCACCATGCACCAATCGACCACCGGACACGGAGCCAGAATTGTCGCCCATCAACTGCGAGTCGTTGACAGACTGCTGTTGCGCCTGTCGCGACACCGTAAAGCGCTGCTCCAGCTCATTGTAGGACATCGTATTGATGGGGGTATTCAGCTCCAGCATATTGGCATCCACGTTGCCTCCGCCGCCGCTACCACTGCCGTCCATCAGGCTGACGTTCGTGTAGAGGGTGTGCGGTGCACCCACAATCGCTGGCAGGCAGTAGTCATCGTTCTTGAGCATCTCCGCATCGGTTCCCTCCTCCGGAACGGGTGGCAGGCGTGTGGTGGGTAGCAGATCTGAGTAAAAAGATGAGTTTTAGATAGCGTACATAGCGTGCACTTATAGCAGCAGAGACTCACCTGAGAAGGTAATGTCGATGTCATCTAAATTCGGTTGCAAGGGCCCCAAACTGGGTTGAATAAAGTCCGCAATGCCTGCCCCACGTGCTGCACAAAAAATAGATCAATTAGCTTTAATTTATTCCACTATTTATGGGGTGCAGAATGTCTTACCAATTTCTCTTGAATCTGGAAAGGGAAATGGTACATTTATGGCCGAGAACAAGGTGTCCGTTGTCCAGTCGTCTGGCATCAAGTTCCTATCGTTCAGCGGTGACCATTCCAGAAAGTCCAATTCGCTCTTCTGCAAAAGAAAGGAAAGGAGAGAGCGA